AGCAATGTGCGTCATTTTAGGAACTCCGCTTCTTATAGTTTTAGTAGAGGAAAGACAAACTATTTATCAACGAAGAAATCAACAACTGAATCGAAAAAAGTTGAGAATGGAACATCTGCAGAACAGCATAGACTGATGGCAACTCATCCCAAATATTAATGTCTGGCCAAATTGAACACAGATTAGTTAACTATTACACTAATATACAAAATTGCCGTATTGGACGAAATCGAAGATGCTGAGCTTGTGTGTTTCGTGTGCCCGCAATTTAGCGCACTACTAAACGATGTGGAGTGATATTAAGCTTAAAAGTTACCCCAGATACTCTTGTAAAAGTGATGCTGACAACTAAGGCTCCGTGGAATAGACTTGTGATCTTCGGAAAATAGAAGAGCGAATGGCGCTAATTAGAAGAAAGGTATGATTAAAACAGCAAATCATAGCATTCTAGATTCTCCTCCCTTAATGTAATGTCTAACGAAGGTTTTTCTAGAGACAAGAGGCAAGAGATAGGGAAAAGTTTTATTCGGTATTATACCCAAGAACCCACATACCCATCTTGGGATGCGCAAACTCATTTATAACAATTATTTTAATTATTAACTATACAAAAAAGTTGAGTTGCATCAAGTTCAAAGAATATAATGTCTTAGAAAGACGGAATATTAATTGAGAGACTGTTTATGGACAGAATGCATTACAAAATAAGTGATTATTTTATACTGCAAATTATTGCAATGAATGGATTAGGTTTTACTATTGATATCTTGTAATTTTTGTCGACGATTTCGGGAACACCGATCAACCGATTTGAATAATTCAAATAACATTCGATTCGTATTGATGAGGAGATGTGTTGATTAGTTTTTGGCAAAGGCAGGTCTAGCCGTTCCGAAGATACGGGGCAAAAAGTGCCAAAAATGGTATCTCAGTTTTAAAGAGAACGGAGCATCCGATTTTGATAATTCAAAAAACATTTTACTTGTATTAACAAGATGAAGAATGGATCAAATTTTCATGAAGGCAAGTTTAGCGGTTTTGGAGATCTAATAAAAAAGGTAAAAAAAATGCCATTTGGCGGTCAAAAATGATCCTTAGACATATGCACATCAAATTATCAGATATTTTATAGAGATTTTAACAATAGGTATAAATTTTGTTTACATTCCTATGGGTTCCGTACCAATGTTTATCCGTTAAACGGCGACGCGGCGCTTACGCGCTTTGAAGTTTTGTCTCTATGCAGTCAAAGCAGTACAATTGCTTTGAAAAAAAGTTCAAAATTTCCAAAATATGTCAAAATAAAGAAAACATTTTTTTTCAAAAATTTATAGTTTCTCAAAAATGTATTTTTTTCGAAGTAAAATTATTTCAAAAATTTTAATCGTTTTTAAAAAAATAATAATTTTTGATACGAGACGTTCCAGCAATTTGCCTTAAGGCACGATGTCATGCGCCCCACTAGTTAAATGATGAATTCTGATTGTGAGTTCAAATCGATGAAAGCCGGCTGGTTTCTATGCTTAATTGAAAAAAAAGCTTTGCAATGAAACTTACAATAACGATAGAGCTCATGGTCCGGAGTTCAAGTTAGTAAAGTACATTTCCAAAATAGACATAATATCAATTTAATGATTGTAAAAAAATGGAATTGTACCTCACGTCGTTGTTGAACAAGACCGTTGGCATCCTAGATTACAATTATTAATATCATTATTTATGATTTAATATTTGAATCGACATTGATGAATATATTTAGCTCAGCAAAGTTTAAATTGTATAAATGTGGATAGAAGATAGACTGATCTATTAACTTAAACTTTGCGCGTACGATATGTTGTTGATCACAGAACTATCTGTTACTAGTACTACAGATACTATCATGTAGTGGAGAAAAGCACAAAAGTTTGAGCACACAATTTTGTATGTAATATGACCTTAATACTCTGTTGGTTTTTTTCATAATTTTCGATTCCTATGGATAGAAAAACCTGCTGGTTAGTTTTTGGCAAATATAGGTCCATAGTCAAAAATTGAGTTTTCGAGAGAAAAAAGCATCCGATTTGAATGATTCATAAAACATACAATTCGTAATGATGAGGAGACGTACTGATTAGCTTTGTTAATGACAGTTCCATCCGATTCGATGAAACGATCAGTTTTTGGTAAAAAAAACATTCATTTTTTGGACAAAATTTTTGGAAAACTTTAGTTTATACATTACCAGAAAAAAATCTGATATTAATTTTAATTTCAACTAATAGGTGTGCAATTCTGTTCAGATAATTCTTATAAATATTAGGTACTTTAGTTTATATGTAATAAGGTACTTCATTTTAATTCCGGTTGATTATGTTTTGTTTATTTATTTTTCATGTAGACATATATAAATGTTGTCGCCCAATTAATAAACTCCAATTTATAATAATCTATTTGAAAACATTTAGAATTTTTTAAATATTTTATTACGATGCCGTGCAGCGATAGATCATAATAATTTTAAAATTAACACATATGGATAATTTTTAATAATATTTTCATTTTTGACTGTTACAGTTATGTATATAGTTATTATATCAATTAATATTTTTTATAATAACTAAAACAAGTTCTGAATCTAAAATAAATTATATATTTCCTCTATTCTGCTTTATATCCGTATTTCTACATATTTCCAAGCAGTAAACCGAGTAATATCAAGTTGTGTCATCATAAAAATTTTACGACTTTGTTACGAGACTTTAGAATAAAATAACGAGTTGCGGCATACATTAGTTCATGTCATAAAATTTTCAATTTATTCATGAAAAACTGTTCACTCTATTTTAACATAGTTCTAGTAAATTTGCAATAAAATTTTCTCTATTTTAACATGTTTCATGACTGCGTTTTACTAAAATTACAGTTTCTTTTATATATTATAAATCATTCTTTAAATTAATATTGTAAATTTTTTTAAGTCAAAATAGTCTTAAAATATAAAATAATAAAGTCAACATGTATTAATCAAAATTGAAATTAACGCACTATTTACTAGCGTTTGCAATTTATTATTAAAAATTCAAAAATTTTACTTGATCGCGATAAACTTCACTTGATAGAATTCCATCAAAATTAAAATTCTCATTTCAGATTTTTTTGCGATTACTATAACTTACACTACGGGAAGATATTATGAACATTAATTAACTTCCCTTAGGGCAAGCAAAAATGAAAATTTTTATGCTTTACGTTTCAAAGGCTTCTGAATATTTTGGCATAGCTTAAAAAAAATGGATGTATGTGTATGTGTACGTCTGTGTATATGTGTGTGTGTAGGTGTGTGTGCGAATACAATTTTTCATCGACGATTTCGGGAACACAGGCAGGTTTAGCCGTTCCTAAGAAACGGGGCAAAAAGTGCCAAAAACGGTAACTCAGTTTTTAAGAGAACGGAGCGTCTGATTTTAATAATTCAAAAAACATTTTACTTGTATTGACAAAATGAACAACTAGTTTTGGGAAGACAGGTCTAGCGGTTATGCCACTTGGCGGTCAAAAATGTTTATTGGACATATGTACATCAAATTATCAGATATTTTATAAAGATTTTAATAATGTGTACCCATTTTGTGTAAACTTATTTGGGTTCCGTACCAAAATTTTTAATTTTAAATTTCATGTATATGGTTCAAACAAATGTTCTCGACATTTTCGACAGTATGGAATAACCGATTTGAATAATTTAAAAAACATTTGATTTATATTGATAAGGAGACGTGCTAATTAGTATTTGGCGAAGGCAGGTCTAGCCGTTCCAAAGATACAGGGCAAAAAGTTCCAAAAACGGTAACTCAGTTTTTAAGAGAACGGGGCATCCGATTTTAATAATTCAAAAAACATTTGACTTTTATTGACAAAATGAGCAACTGGTAAAATTTTTGGTAAGGCAAGTCCAGCGGTTATAGACTCTCAACAAAAATATTTTAAAAAATGTCATTTGGCGCTCAAAAATGTTTATTGAACACATGTACATCAAATTATCAGATATTTTATAGAGATTTTAATATTGTGTACACATTTTGTGTAAATTGTTTTGGGTTCCGTAACAAGATTTTTAATTTTGTATTTTTTTCATATGGTTCAAACAAATTTCCTCGTAATTTTCGACAGTATGGAATAACCAATTTGTATGTTTCAAAAATCATTCGGTTTGTACTCGATCGCGAGGCGTTTCTGCAAATTGCCTCCGTTTCGGAGGTATGGAGCGTAAAGGGTGTAAAAACTGTTATGCAGTTTTTGAGAGAACGGATTATCCGATTAGATTAATTCAAAAAAACATTTTGCTTGAGTAGATGGTGTGCAAAAAATGCATTTACAGAAAATTTAGTGATTTCGAAAATTTAAAAAAAATCAAAACTTAAAAAAAAATTCAAAGTTTCAAAAAATTCAAACTTTCGAAATGTTTCATTCTTTAAAAAAAAACTAAATTTCGAAAAATTGAAAACAAAATGATTTTTTTCAAAAATTTGAGAATTTTTCGAAAATTAACACTAGAAAGACGGACCTACATTGCCTGAAAGCAGCCAAAATAACTGTGTCACGAAAAAAAATAAATAATGCGTTTAGAAATTTGTTTGAAATTAATTTTTAATATTTCATGTATTATTTGCATTCATACAAGTTATCTATAAGTGCTAAAAATAAAAAAAAATAGTTCATCTGAAAACAAAAAGTTAATTACATTTACAATTCATGCAAATATAATTTGAGATCTTTTTATGAGTACATTTTCCGTAGACATATTTGTTGCAACTTTGACACGTATTATTAGTTTTATTATTATGACAAAGTCTTCTTTGTCAAAATTTTCTTTTATTGGTATTTGATATCTGTGGGTCATCATTTTCCTTTGATTTTTTTTGTCTTAATGTCGTGTAGTCCGCGGAAAGCTGTTCTGCCAATTCAAACAAAAACTGTTTTCTTTGGATTTTTATTCCTGTCGCTTCCTTGTAAAGATTTCAAGCATTTATTGCAGCCAAATCCAAAATATTGAAAAATATTTGCAAGGGCCACCTACGCAAACTGGATTTCACGGTATATTTTCTTGACATTTGATCTGTCATGTCTACTCCATATTCCATTTTATTATAAAATTCTATAGTGTCAGGCAACATCTTTTTATTACTTTTATCGATTTTGACAAATTTATGTCTAGAACTCTGAACCGAAACTTTTTTATTTGGTTTGCTTTTATATATTGTCATGGTGGAATAGCGAGGCATCTTATCCTTGGTTAGCTTGGCTGCTTTAGGTAGTTCCCTTTTATTGGCCCTCATAGTTCCAACAAGCGCAGTCTTCTTTGCCAATAACTTTATCGCTAGCGACATACCAGTAAAAAAGTTATCGGTCGTGATATTGCTTCCATAATTTAGGTATGGCTCGACCAGTTTCAAAACAACATGTTCGCTGAGAAGCATTGACGATTATTGTTGCTCATCTTTCACCAAGTATGCAAAACCATTCAGAATATATTTACTACTGACATCTGACGCCAGCCAGATATTGATACCAAATTTATTGGGTTTATTGGACATATACTGTATAAATTTGCACCTGGCTTTGGTCGAAAACAGTTGTTCGTAAACAGTAAGATTTTGCCCTCGTTGATAGCAAGCTTGACTATTTGTTATAGATTTATCCCATACTTCCGAAACCAAAATAAGTTTATTGGTTTGTAGGCGCCTACTCCTTTCAGTTCTATTGTCAAAACAAATGAATCTTAGCAGTTGTTTGAATGTATCAGTTCTTTGTAATGGGCATAGTTTTTCTAAAAAATCTGGGACCCAGTTTGCTGACCATAGATAAATCAATTTCAAGTTTTTAGCCTCATAGGCTTCACGAGCATATAAAATTCCAATAATTGCACATATTTCCGGTAACGATGTTGTCCAATCGTACCCCATCATTCGACTGCCCTCTTCTTCCGTGCACATTTTTATGTGTTTGATAATATAATTATCTATTATCAACGAAAATGCACTGACAAGCTCACCTTTTATATTATTCCTGTAGCTTGTTGGTCCTTTTACGCCCTTGAAAACCTTCGTCAATTTCGGTCCATACAGTGCCGTCGGCATCTGTTTCCGTTTCTTGAGTGGTTTCATCAGTTTTTGAGCCACTACTTAGCACCCTACACCTTCTCCTGGGTACACTGATGGCACTTTCATTTCCATCAATAGCGATCACCTCTTCATCGCTACCCTAAGAATCAGATGATTCACGTGGAATATAATCCGATTCATCTTCAGATGATTGTGCTCAATTTTCAGCATTTCATTCTATGTCGGAACACTCTTCACTTATGTTTGTCAGCTTTTGCAATAATTCACTTCTCTTTGACATTTTATTTATAAGCCCTAAAAAATCAACTGAACAACGCGTTATACTGAAAGTTATTACGTGAAGAGGACCGGTCTAATGTCAATACTTACCAAAATTCGGTTATTTCTATGTAACAAATGCATTATCAAGCGATATATATATATATATATATATACATATATATATATATATATATATATATATATATATATATATATATATATATATATATATATAGGAGAAAGTCCCCTAGTGGCAAACACCTAAGGTTATTTATAAATAAATAAAAAAATATTTTACGAAATTTTATTAAATTAAAATTTATGTTAGATAACAAAGTTAGAAATCAAACTAAATTAACAAAAACGCAATCTTTGCTAAAAAATAATTAATACTATCAATCAAACTTTGGTATCAAAAAAATTGATTTTAAACAGTGGCAACTAGTACCGGACATTTCAAAATAACTTGCATTGATCACATATGTAGCCATCTCCAAACTCTGGAATGTCTGCACATGTGTCTTTGACGAATATTCTTAGATATTTCAAAAAAAAGTCACTATTCATCTACCCTTTTGGCTGGGCCGCACCGATGCTTTCACCATAAGCTTTTCATTCTTTGACTAGGAAATACGAAAAATGGGGGTATGTAGTGACCGTTAGCACTCATACAGAACAAAAATAAATAATTGGAATAAATTACGTAAATTTTCACAAGAAATATCAATATGCTTACTGACCGGCACTAAGGGACGACTTAGTGTCCGGGGCTAAGGGACAGACATTTTCGTTCATTTGATGGCATCTACTAAAATTGGTTAAAAGATTTAATAATATTCTACCATTTTACCGATAACAATCAAGTACAACTTTTAACTTTGCATACCATTCGAATGTAAATACATAAATATGCTAGAATTACTTCCATTGATGTTTAGGTGACGCCGTGATTTTGCGCCTAAAACAGGAAAGGGTTGAATCGTTGCTCTCGCCGTGGCCATGTGTGTCACAGGCAAGGCTTGGCGCGTGATTCTGTACCTGTGTGCCCCCAGTGCCTCTTTCACTTTTATTGTGAAATGAAAAGATTTATACTCGCTTAAACAATACGTGTTAAATAGAGTGTCCGGTGTTTGGTGCCGTCCGGCGTTACAGGAACACAATATATAGAGTAAGTAGGTGTATCTTCTATTCAAGATGTGCAACGTTTTCTTTTTTATTTGTTCTCTGATAACTTTTATTGCTACTAGATAATTGAAGTTGTTGACATTTCAATTTAATCGTGTATTATATTTCATCATATTTACGCAATTTTGATTATATTTTCAAAATTTTGTGTTTAGTATAAAATCTTACAATATTTGAATCATTTTCCTAATTTTCGGAAAAATATTTACTTTTATTAATTAAAAAGCACAATTTATGATCTTCATAGTAATTTGCATCATAAGAAAATAAATCAAATTCATTCGAATTTCATTAATATCAAAACAATCATTAATATCAAGTATCCGTATAAACATAAGACATTGATTGTAACTGCAAATTCGCAATGGAAATTTATACGAAAAAACAACATCTAGTAACTAAGTTTTTCAATAAAACTCTAATTGATGTTAATACTAGTTTAAAACATCACTTTTATTCATTTAATAACACAATTGATTATATTATAAATTGTGAAGTTTAAACACACAGATTGTACTATGAACGTTTTCCACGATCATCTTGCACCTCATCCGAGCTATCTTCGGAATTTTCAGTCGATGCATCATGTAAGTTCCAAAAAGTGGTTTTGTTTTTATGTTCACGTTTTCTCCTTAAAACTGAAATGATGCTTTGTTCATCGTGTAAACATCGACTGGAAGTACTTTCAGTTCTGGAGCAATGACAACGGCCAGCTTGATCTCGTATGTAAAAGGGATTTCGTTGAGTTTTTTTGCGAGTTGCTTTAGCAGAAAATCGGTTATCATCATAAGGTTTTTCTATCGGTGCACTTAATCTTGGTCGGCAATTATTATTAATATTCTTATCTTGTTGGTCTCTTCGGTCCTTACGTTCTCCCAATATAATTTCATCTAGCATCACAATCATATTCGAAACATCCATTCTGTGTTGCAGGGAAGATGTATAAGGATTTTTTGGAAACACGAGTGGACAATGTGCTCTTAAATAATCTTGGTTAGGACTATTGTTACTACTGCTTGTCTCCGAATGATTTAAATGACGCATTTGGATTTGCGTAAATGCGGGATCAGTTCTTAATCTTTTTCTACAATTATGTCCATCCATCCTGTTTAGCCCTAAAGACGCATCATTCCCAGATTGAGATCTTTCTGAGCTTCCTGAATCTTGGGCTGCTTGCTTGTATTTCTCTGTATAGGAGAGACAAACCAATAATTCGGTTTCTTAACTCTATTTATGCGAAACTTACCAAGCATTTTCTCTAGAAATTCCCTAGGCAGATGCTCATCAATATAACGAAAATTCAGCTGCAACTTCTTAGTTTCTTCTAGTAATTCGAAAGCCGCTCTTTCAACATAACGAGCGTTGTATGTTTGTAATAGATATTTTAAATAATCACAGATCGGGTTGACCATACTGTTAACCATGTATTCGGTAAAGGCGCTTTGGCCAGAATGATTTTCACTAGCTTCAGAAGGAGATCCTACTCTCTCATGACTTGGTTCGGGAAGACTATTACTCGCACTGCTGGTGGAGGGCATAGCTTCAGTCATGTCTTTCGATGGTTGCCTTCGGGTATTACGATTCAATTCCTGTACACCATCGACCGCATTTGAGACCCGTTTATCACTTCTGTTGTACATTTTTTAAATTTCGAATTTTATTTACAAAGAAAAATTTTCTATGAAATTTCAAGTCAGACTGAAATACGGATACTTAGAGCATTTGTTTTTTTTCGCATATGCCTACTTTGATTGAGATATAATTTTGACTATGTATTCATCTAATTTTTATACATCAATTATTAAAATTAATAATTCTTACATAACCCTACAAAGCCTAGTCAATATTAGAATATGATATATTCATATAGAGACGTTTCTCTCTCTCGAATTTTATGTTCAGAAGGGGCAGTTAGAGTACACTACAGACGCGAGGGCGCTGCTATCGGCATTCAAATTAATGGCGCAAAATTTGAAAAGGAAATGAATGAATTTTAATATTCGGGTAGTTGAAACTAAATTTGGCATTATGATCGCATTATGTTTTGTAATGATACAACAGTAATAGTAAATATACTTAATAAAAATATATTATAATAAATATACAATCAAATCAAAATAAAAATTCATATTTAAATGTTCATCACACCTAATCTACTGGAGTAATTTCTACACTTTTTTAACTTATTAATATGAATATTTAGTGAAACTTAGTAAATAATACTATAGTGTTAGTTCATTATATTGACTGTCATTTTTAACTTTTATTAACCAATAATCATCTCGTGCAAATTTGACATTCTTAAGCAATTTATTTTTTAACTTCCCGTAGGGTAAGTTATAGTAATCGCAAAAAAATCGAAAATGAAAATTTTTGCATTTCTCGACGTTTCAAAACCTTCTGAACATTTTGGCATACCTTAGAAAAAATGGATGTATGTGTGTGTGTGTGTGTGTGTGTGTGTGTATGTATGTATGTATGTATGTATGTATGTATGTATGTATGTATGTATGTATGTATGTATGTGTGTGTATGTATGTGCGGATACAAATTTTCGTCGACGATTTTGGGAACACGGATCAACCGATTTGAATAATTCAAAAAACATTCGATTCGCATTGATAAGGAGACGTGCTGATTAGTTTTTGGCAAAGTCAGGTCTAGCCGTTCCGAAGATACGGGGCAAAAAGTGCCGAAAACGGTAACTCAGTTTTTAAGAGAACAAAGCGTCCGATTTGAATAATTCAAAAAACATTTTACTTGTATTGACAAGATGTAGAATTGATCAAATTTTCATGGAGGCAGGTCTAGCGGTTTCGAAGATCTAATGAAAAAAGTAAAAAACTAGCTGTAAGTGGAATTCTGTCTTGAGGCAATTATGGCATCGTGCCTTAAGGCAAATTGCTGGAACTTCCCGTACCGTAACGAAATGTTCGTGGAATACTGAATGTTTTCAAATAAATTATTATCTAATTATTTTAAAATAAATAAATAAATTATTTTCTAATATTTATAAGAATTATATAAACTGAATTGCAGAGTTGAAATTATTTGTAAAGTATATTAGAATTATAGTAAGAACTAAAAATAAAATCTGAAATATTTTCGATATACAAAAAACTAAAAAAAAAAAAAAAAAAAAAAAAAAAAAAAAAAAATGGAACAAAAATTTTTTTTTTCCAAAATCAATTATTTTGTTAAGACAAGCAGAAAGTTCTTTGAATCATTTAAATCGGACGCTTAGTTCTCTCAAAAAATGACATTTTTTACATATTTAGCTCCGTATCTTCAAAATGGCTGGGCCTGCCTTTGCCAAAAGCTAATTAACACTTCTGTCAATCATTACTAATTGAATGTTTTTTAAATCATTCAAATCGGATACTCCGTTCTCTCAAAAATTCGATTTCTATTTTCTGCACTCTTTG